CGGCGGCGGCGGCGCCGTGGAGGTGGATGGCTTAGCGTCGGGCACAGCGGGCTGAGCTTCTGGGCCCCTGGCAGGCGAAGGAGGGATCTGGCCGTGCTTGCGAGCAGCCGATCTTGAAGGCTTGAAACCTGCTCGGGGACCTCTGGATCTCGATGGCGCTGAACGGAACGAGGAGCGCGTAGCTGGGGTGAGTAAGCGGCACCTTCCCTCGCCGTTGACCTCTTCCAGGTGGCTGGTGGACGGACGGCGCCTGCCGCCTGCTATTTCAAGGCGGACGCGCGTCCACCTCTCTTCCAGTCTTGTGCGCATCACCTACGTAGCCGAGCATCTGTGAGGGTGTCCAGGCTTCCCTCCCGCCTCTTCCCTCTTTTTCTGGCCAAGGCTGTTTTCTGAGCAAAGTCTGTTGCGTTGGCCTCGCGTTTAGCGGTGGAGAGGCAATCTTGCGGGCGGAGGGCCGCGGCAGGCACGCCCGGATCGCCCTGTCCTGCCTGGCATCTCTAGGGAGGCACCTTGCAGCGGTTGAGCGATAGTCACTGGGTTGGGCATGCAGTTTCCAAACGTTTGGTCGTGCTGGAAGGGGACTGCTTAGGTCCCTGTGTACACGTGTGTGTGTATGTGTGCTGCACACACACACATCTTGGGCAAGGACAAGGCCGTAGTTTGGAAGCCAGTCCTAAACCGTGGGTCCTTTAGACTTTTGCGATTAATGAGAAGAAACTTTTAATTCAGTAATGCACTTCCTTATCGATTGCTGGTGGCGTCTGGGTTGGAATAGAAAAAGCGAGCCGGTGGGGCTTGTTTATATCTGTAGGGAAGATTGCCTGCCTGGGAGACATCCGAGATGAATGAGGCTGACCTCCCGTGTGTTCTCTGGGAAGGGTGATCTGAGCCCCTTCGAACTGCCTGAGACTGGAAAATCTGTAATGTCTATTGAACTGAGTTTAATGGAAGAGGGAGGGAATCGGTCTCAAAGCTGCTAAACTGGGATAACTGCTCTTACTACTGGGTAGAATGAAAAAGGAGAACATTCCCATTCCTTCCCTTTGTTTGGAAGTACACAATGCACAAATATTTTTTTTGAAAATGCTGCAATTCACAGAGGTGTCGCTCACCCCCATCTTTCCAAAAACAGGCATGTGAGTCCTTGGCATATTTACTTGGAAATTGTATCCGCTGTTGTTTGCTTCCAAATACATTTAGATTCATTGGTTTGTTTGCCTCTGTTTACCTGTACTTTCATCATTCCCTAATACTTTAACCTGTGTTTGAAACTCTGATTCTAACCATGTTATGCAGAAATAAGCACCGGAGGGTTGCAGCGACTCGTTCATGTCATGTTTCCAAGGCAAGGGTGTGAGATATGCAAATCAAAGAGTTTATCTAAGAGGCAGTAATAAGTACACACATTAAATGCAATTTAAGGTGTAACTCTGCATATTTAGTTGGGATTAAATTTTATAAGATGCAGTAGGTCTTAATTCCAGGTGTATGTGCGTGGGGCTGCAGTGACAATTATTAGTATGATAGTTCATTTTTGGCTCATGTACAGGAAAACCTAATCATGCTTCAGCTTAAAAGAAGATTGTCTTGCAGTTTGCTATTGTTAAAATATATCATTATTTTTGCTTAGATCATGGTTTCAGAGTATAATTCATCTTTGAAAAACTTGTTTAAAGTTAATCATGTCATGTACCCTCTCAGTTCAGGCATAATTTTCCTGGGAAAAGAAACTTATTTGTTTTTGAATCAGGAAATGTGTCTCAGTATTATTGAGCAAGTGCTGTATACCTAGCTTGAACTAGGTAAGAACTAATTGGTTCAATAAATGATAAATTCTTAGATAAGTACTAATCCGTGAAATAAAATACATGTGACTTTTAAAAAAAATCAATTTAAAAAATTGAATACAGGCTGCTCATTTGATTATAGTGTCAACATGTATTGTCATTGTTGTTATTATTTAATTATTTGGTATAGTGTGAATTCTGTATTCTATTCAGCGAGGAATCACCTTTATCATAGGAGAACATCTGCAGTTATAATAATTAAACTACAATGAAGCAACTGTTGTGTGTTCCAAACTAGTGATTAGTTTTAATTCTATGCTTTGAAAATAAATGAATGCAGTAACATCCTATTATATATTGGTGAAGAAACTGAAGTGCTCTGACACATCAACTGCTTTGATTAGCTTCTTCTCATTTCTTACTGTTTGTGGGATTAAGAGGCTCTCAATTTGAGCCTAACTCCTGACCATCGCATGGATGCAGATGAGTAGCTTTCCTGCAGTACTGAAATAATTTGCCATGGCCTTCTTCTAGCATCCTTTGATTTTCTAGTCTAGTTTAAGGTCTTGGTATTCCATAGTGATCTCTCATCTTTCATCTCTAACCAGCCTGCTTAGCTTTGAAGCCCAAATAAGATCAACCAGATGCTGCCACCTGAGTCACTGCATGCATTGTAAAGGCAGGAGATACTAAACATTATATTCCAGATAGACTTTTTACCTTAGTTAAACACTGTGTACTTGCCTTGTTAAATAGAAATATTAATAGGTAAGAGTAGTGAGAGATTTGTTCATAATTTATACATTTTAGATGCTTTGGCCATGTTCTTTTAATGTGCTTGAAGTAATGCGGGTAGAGTCTTTCATACAAAATGTATATGAAATTTTAGAATACTGTGAACAGTTTTGAGGTTTCCCGGGGGCAATAGGTCAACCTAAATCATTCTCTGGCTGGAAAAAAATACAGTGTCTGTAGATGAGGGATAGGCAATATGCTGCCTTGCAGTTGTTTTGGATTTCCGTTCCCATCAATCTCATAGCATGGTCAGTTGCATAGAGTTACAGTGCAAACCATCTAGAAGACAATAGTTGTACATCCTTGCTGTGTTTATTGATTTATTGATTTCAGTATGTGTTAGACATAAAAATGACTTCTAGAGAGATAGCCATGTGAGTCTTGGGCTCCATAGGGTTGAGTCTGCAGCAAAGTAATTTTGTACCCTAGACCTACTGGCCTTTCAAAGTCCCATTCTTCAGGCAATAACCAAAAATCAGCTTACAAATTATTTTTGAAAAAGAAATACTAGGTGCGTATAGTTCTGCATTTGACTGAAGAGATGCCATTTTTTTCACACACTTGGAAAACTTACCAACCCCCCCCCCTCCAGCTTTTGGCTAAAAAAAAAACAAACCCTCCAGCTTTTCTGGCGCTAGTACTACTTATTTATTTACTTTTGAAATTTCTAAGGTCCGCTGATCCCCTAATGACTCTGGATGTTGTGAAAAACAGATTCAGAACAATAAAACAGATAAAAAGAATGACAAACATCCAGAAAGAGCAGTAAAACACATGATTGCTTGATACAAATAATTCCTATAAGAAGCCTGCCACATACCCTAGCCCAAGGTCTGGAGAGAAAGCCAGGTTTTTAGGGTTCTTTTAAATGAGGTTGGGGGCAGACAAATCTTTTGAGAGGAGATTGTTGCCAAGGGCAGGCACTAGAATAGAGAAGGCGTTCTGAGTCCCATCAGATGACATTGCCTAATCAATGAGATCTAAGGCTTGCTAACTCTTTCTGTTTGTACAGGATGGATAAAAACTATGGGAGCAGATGGTCCCTCAGATAGCCTGACCATGTGCCATGAAAGGCTTTATTGGGAAAAACTAGCACCTTGAATTGCACCTGGAAGCCAATTGGTAACCAGTGATGTTCACTAAGCAGAGGTATTATGTGAGCACATTGTGGCATGCTCATAACTGCTTGTGCTTTTGCATTCTAGACCACTTGCAGCTTTTGAGTGGTCTTCAAAGCAGCCCATTGCAGTACTTCATACATGAGTGACCAAGGTGTGACTGACTGTCCAAAGACCCTCCCAATCCAGGAATGGTTGCAATTGGTACCTGAGATGAATCTGTGCAAAGACTTTCTTGGTCACAGCTATTTTCTCCCTGAGCAATAGCTGTGAGTTCAGGAAAATCCACACATTGTGCACTAGTCCCAAAGGGAGAAGTACGGCTCTATTCAGGACTAAAAAGTCTCTGGGACTAGGACTGAGTAGTCCGAATATCCCCCAGATTGAACCTGAGTCTGTTCCTTTCAATCCAGACCCCCACAGCCTCAGACACTGGGACAAGACTTTGACAGCATCATTTGGTTGGTTTGGGGTCGAGATACACAACTGAGTATTAGCATACTGATGATACTTGTCCCCAGACTAATAGATGATCTCACCCAGCAGCCTCATGTGGATGTCGAACAGGGAAGGCAAGAGTATTAAGACTTGTGACACTGCAAGTATTAAAGGCCTCAGGGTCGATCTCTACCTCCCCCCAGCAGCACCAAATAGAACCGATCACAGAAAAAGGAGGAGCAGCACTGCAACAGTGTGCCCCATTTCTAATCCTTGTAGTCTGTTTAGAAGGCTACTATAATAGATGATATTGAACACTGCAGAATGATTACACTACCCATGTCCTGGCTTTTCCAAAAATCATTGCCAAATGTTATCAGTGTTGTCTCCATTCTGTGCACTGGTTTGAAATTCAGCTGAAAAGGTCTGGATAATCAATTTCTCCCAGGGCCCTCTAGAGCTGTAATCTGACCCCCTTCTTAACAACCTTCCCTAAAAAGGGAAGATTGGAGACTGGATGGAAATTGTCCAGGGTAGGTGGGTCAAATAATGACTCCTTGAGGACAGTGGTGATGTTCCAGCTTGGCACATGTTAATTAAAATAGGCCTATTAATGGAGGTTATAAAACAACCACATTTTACTTCCCAAGTAATTTTTTCGTAATGATTTACTGCTGAAAAGACTGAGTTGGGTAGAATCAGATTCAGAAGTAATTAACTAAAGAGTTTTTTTAAAAGGCCCTCAGGCATAATTAAGCAACATTACTTAAAGTTTTGGGCAATTTCCACTGAGTGTTTTTCATTTGTAAGTTATTTATTAGTTTAGTTTCGTATTTTCTTACATAATTTATAATGTTTATAGAACTGTTTTATGATTAAGCTTTTTTCTGCTGTCCATTTAATTTCCCCTTTTCTGCTATCCATTAATTTTATTTTTATCTTGTATCATTGTGAAGTCATAGTTCAAAGCCAGTTTTCTCTCTATATTGTTAATATTGATCTGATAGGGAACATTGGTTCACCAAATAAGATTGCTCTGATAGGAATGC